GAGATCACCAGCTTAATTTCTGGTTAGGGGTAATAAAGAATCACCCAGCTGCTCTGTTTCAGTCTGAGCTGGTGATTTGTCAGTGAGAGACAGAGAGACGTGGCCGCAGCAGCAGCAACGTAACTGACTCTAATAGAGATTTTGTGGAGTGACATCCCACCCGGAGCCAGAGCCGAGTTGTGTTTGCACACGGTGCGGGGCATGTCACACACCTGCAGAGGCCATTTGTCAGACTCGGCCATCCTGGGCTGTACTGTGTAGAATGGATATTTCAGGTGTTGGGACACGTGAAAAGACGCCTGATTTGTCTGGCAAGGAAAGCGAACAGCCAGGAGCCAGCGACCTGATCAGGTGAACAACCTGGTCAACCGTCCAATCGGTAAACAACTGGGTTAGCAAACGAATCTTAGTGCTAGGCAGGAAAGTGTTTCTACAATAAATAATGAATAACTTGGTTACAATGTCGTTAAGGCGAGCACCTGAATGAGGGGGTGCGCTCACACTTAACCCTAGGCTGGGCCCTGTTTCAGTGAACTGATCACTGAAACCACATACTTCTTCAGCTCCAGAGTGTCTGTGAACCTGTGCATCCTGGGGAGCGGGGAAAAGAACCGGTCAACATGGGCGATTCGGACAGTCCTGCAGCAGCCGAAATGGGCGTGCGGGTCCTTTCTTTCGGGAGAACCTCGCCACCCTGCTGCTGCTGCTGGCCCGTTTTCTGAACTGATGCTAAAGCAGAGGGTTCGGCAGCCCCGGGGCAGCGTCTCCGGCCTGAGCTGTGCAGGAGGTGGGGCTAGATGCGCAGGCTGGTCCCTTCTGGCCTGGAGTCTAAGGATCCGTGCAGTGTTTGGGGGCAGGTTTCCGCCCTGCACTGAGCGAGTTGGGGTTCGTCAGAAGGTCTGACATACCCGGGCCTGCCCTTCGGGGACTCACAGCCCAACTGGAAGCAGGAAGCACCAAACATCTCCTGGGAAGCCCAGGCATGGGGTGTAGATTTACAGCCCCTGGAGGGGTCCATATTGCATTCCCCTCCTCAGAGCCGCTCAGTTCTGCTCTCCTGACTACGCCTCCTCGGGTTGCGACACCGATAGCAGACAGGAGGAACCTGCTTTGCCCTCTGGGATACTTGGTGTCTGGGGTCACCAGTGACACCAGCAATCTGCAGTGAGGCCCTGAAAGGCTGATCAGACACAAACACTCGTTTGCTTTGTCCCATGACGCCATTAGAACAGAGAAGTGGAAGTCAGGACTCCTGGGTTCTATTCCCAGCTGTCCCTCTCACGCCTGCGACCTGGAGTGAGTCACATGACCTCAATGCCTTTGATTCCCTGTGTATACAATAATACCCGGCCATGGGCAATCGCACACACTAGGGTTGCCAATTCTGGTTGGACGTATTCCTGGAGATTTCATCCCATAACAGAATCTTTAATTAAAGATTAATCTTTAATTCCTGGAGACTCCCGGCCAATCCTGGAGGCTTGGCAACCCTATCACACGCTCTTCTGTTGTGATGCCTGCAAACCAAAGTCAGTGACTTGGCAGCTGGGGCACTGTGCCTGCTGCTCGTCGTCTCACTAGTCCCTTACGCTCCTCCAAGCCTAGATCGACCCATTGTCTCTCCTTTGATCCTTAGATGGAAGCTCCTTGGAGCTCCTCCGTCTGTGGATGTGCAGCGCCCGGCGCCGTGGGACCCTGCTCCCTGACTGGGGCTGCCGGACACTGCCACACTAGTGTGCTAATGAATAACACATGTCACTGACCCCAGTGGAAGGTAGTGGTGTCATCCAGAGCCCGGGTTTCTATTTGCCTTTGCACAGCACCCAGCACAACACGGCTCTGACCCTGAGTCGCTGAGTGCTGCTGTCATATACATATGAAATTAAGAATCATTATTCTCATTAATACTCTCTATTATTAATACTTTTTCTCCTTGAAACCCACGGGCAGGTTCCATGGTGATCAGTGAAGCAAACCCTGTCATTGTTGCGTCACCTGTAATCGCTGTGTAATTGATTCCCTTGGATTTGCTGCGTATGCTCAGGGCTGCCCCACACCAGAGAAATGGGAGATTTCTGCCTGCCTGGCATCACCCTTTTGCACACCCCTTCCTTGCGGGGTAAAGGCGAGTGGCACCAGGGACCTCTGCACACTGCTCCAGGGGAATCAGCCAAATCGGTGCCGAGCCTAGGAAGTTTGACTGGCACACACACCTAGATTGCCCTGTGATATGCGTGGCTGGAATCTATCGGAGGGGAGACTTCTCATCCTCATGGCTTTTACAGAGCAGCATGCGCCTTGCCTGTCTGTGCCATGCATTATTAAACAGATAAGACTGCAGCCCCTCTGTATTTTTCCTGCCTGGGCTTTGCTGCACAGGAAGTGGGTTCTTTGAGCAGATATTTCTCTCTGAAATTCCCTGCTAAGCTCAGGCTGTGGATCTGGAATTGCTGCAGGTATGGATGATTCTCTTAACGGGTTTCTGACTTTACAGGTTTCTTCTAGGTTCTTTCCTTATCCCTCCCCCCCATGGTATAAATTCCGTTTTCCATTAAAGAGCCGTAACACTTTCAGCCCCAATGTTAGCATCAGTGCCCTGGCTTCTCCTGGCCTTACTCACACAGCAGTTCTTATGGCATTCATATCCCTAATGCAGTATAGAAATGCACACTTGCCCCGTAGCCAGCCCATCAATATTTATGGCAGGCACACACACACATGCACAATGCCTTGCAGAGGAGTCAGAGAAGTTGTGAGCAGAATACCAGGAGCCACTTACTTATCTCTCCGCATCAGACAAAGGGTCTCTCTGGAGACCTTGCACTGCAGAGCTCCTCTCCCACCCCCTGGCCCACCCCTCCCGTCCCCAAGCAGCCCTGAGACGCTTCAAACACCCACCAACATCAACAGCCAGGCTTTGAGATCTGCTTTTGTGGAAAAGCAACAATCCAGAAGGCTCCTCGGGGAAGGGTGAGGATAAAGCGCCTGGTTCACCTAGCCCACCCTGGCCCGCAGCTCGGTTGCTTGACACCCCTTTTTGTGTCTGGACCTTGCTTTGCACAAGAGGATTTCCAAGGGTTTTGCAAACATTACCAATGACTCAGGCTGAGATTGTCCAAGCTGCCTGCTGGGAGGCGGATGCACGGTTCCTGCTCGATTTTGGTTGCCAGTGGGCATCCAAATGGGAACGGGGCCGCCACATGCCCTGGCCAGCTTCCGCATCACCCTCGCGGGAACCTCATGGGGGCTGCTGCAATTATCCCCGTTTTGCAGGTGAGGAAACTGAGGCGCAGAAAGACAGGCAGTGACTTGCCCAGGACCATACGGCAAATTGCCAGCAGAGCTAGGAGTGGTCACTGCCAGGCCCTTCTTGTCTTACCCCTGGCCAACCCCCCTGCCCCATCAGAGCACGGTCCCTGAATCTGAGCTGAACACTGGGCCCTGAGCTTTGGGTTGGGACACACTTTGGTTTTGATGCCACCAGAAGCCATGTCCTGCCAGTGTTTTCCCCCAGGGGCAGTGCAGGTAGCACAGAGCCCCCTCAGGACGGCTTCCACCACATGCCAAGGCGTGGCAATTCTGCCAGGAGGACTGGCGCCAGGCTGCCAGCTGCACGGAGAGGAAGGCTGGCCCAATGCTCGGCGTGCTAGCCTGCGGCCCGGAGCCTAACTGCTATGGGAATCAGTGGAAGTTAGGAGCCTACGCAGATGTTAGGAGCCTAACATCCGGCCCTTGGTCTTTCTCGGCTTCTGTGGAAATGGGGATGCTAGCAGGGCCAGAGCCCTGGGGGGTGCAGGGAGAAATACACTACGGGTTGTGCTCTCACATACCAGGGGAATGGGGCCTGGTAAGTACCAGGTATATGGGGGAGGGGGGAGCAGAATGGTGCGGGAGGAATGGCACAGTTTGCAAAGGCAGTAGCAGGACCATGGGAGGGATGGTCAGATACTACAATGATGGGCACAGTACCATACCTAGATGGAGAAAGGGAGACCCATGTACAAAGGAAGGGGGAGGTAGGCAGGTAAATGCCGAGCTCACTGGAGGCCAAGAACTTAACAAGATCCCAAAAGGGATTGGCTGTTTCTATGGGTATCATAACGCAGGACAAACATCCTGGCAGGGCAATTAGATCACCTGCTTCAGGGGGTGTCAATCTCCAATACCCGCCGCTGCTGGGGTGGGTTCTTAGACCTTCTTCTGCAGCTCTCAGTGCGGGGCATTGTGGGAGCTGGGATGCTGGGCTAGACAAGCCCAGGCTCTGATCCAATCCGGCCATCCCTCAATCCCTCACTGCTGCCCACCACGACGACTGGCCTGAAGTTTCCCATTGAATCTTTTTTGTTTTTTTTTTTAACCGGGGCTGGCTTTTGAGCACATGATTCTTTTTCCCACCCAGTGTCATGTTCCTTGCAAATCACTGACTGTGTCAGAAAACTGCCCTTCCCCCCTTTCTTTTGGTTTCGTTGTTGGTTTTCAGCAGTTTTGGGCCCCAAATATTTCAGTTTGGAGGTTTTCAATGAAAAGTCCAAAATGTCCAGGGGAACCCCCCGTTTCTGCCCAGCCCTCGTGCTGTGTGCATAGAAAACACCCTAATTCTTCTGCCCTAAGCCTTGGGGCGAGGTCCCAGCCCGCTGCCCATCCCCAGGAGAGGAGAAGGGAGCCCAGGGTTCCCAGGAGCCCAGAGCCCTAGCACTGATTTCGGCCGGGGCGCCTGCTCTGTAATTTCCTTGCTGAGCTCTGCGTGCAGGCAACACCTCTGCGGTTCCCGCCAGCCCCCGGGGCACTGCGCTCGCCCTGGCAGCCGACTGCACCTCGCTTCCTGGCATTTGTGCTTGTTGGCTCATTGCCGGGAAAGATGTCTGCAGGGAGGAGGATGGCTCAGGAGCTGGCTGGTTCCCCCAGCCCGAGGGAGGGCGAGCGAGGCGCCAGCGACAGGCCGGAGAAGTGCCTGCAGCGCAGGGGAGCACACAGGGGATCGGGGAACCTGCTGCACCTACCTTTCCTTGTCTCTCCAGCCAGGCGTCCGCTTGCCTTCGGGGCACTAACACGACGGCTCCTCCTCGCTGGGGCAGAGCATGTCGGGGCAGCCGGCGCCCTAGAGAGGAGAGAAGGGGAGGGCAGGGTAAGGGAGGCTGGGACAGATCCGTCAGCTCCATACCATGGCAGGAGCGTCACTCACACTGCGCGCAAAGCGGGCTGCAGAGCACATGTGGCTCCCACGCCGTGCTGTCTCCCTCAGGATGGCATCTCGTTATTTCCCCCCCCTCCCCCCCCAGCCTCTCTGCTTCAGCCACCCTGCCAGGCACAGGTCCCCGGCACTGGGGGGCCCCCCCATTTATATTGAGCCCCCTCCTTCTCCTAGGTCAATATCCGTGCCTTCCTGGAGATGGAGAACTGGGCTCTCCCTATGCCAGGGATCTACTACCCTGGCCCACCCCACTCTCTCGCCCTCTGTCAGAGGGAAAGTCCCCAGCCCCAGAGCACTCTGCTAAGCTGGAGTTAGCCTAGAGCCCGGGGAAAGGCCCTGACAAGATCCTGGCAGGTCTACAAACTAGCAAGAAGCGGAGAGCGCCGGAGTTCAGATTCCATTCAAAGGGAAGCAGAATCTTGGGAGTGTGGAGCTGCTGTGTTCAGGCGGCTGCCCTCCCCCCCGGCCCCGGCGGTAACAGCTGCAGCCCCTCCCCGCATTGCTTCCCTTCAGACTCCTTGGGAGAAGGGTGAGTTTGGGATCAAGGTCTTTCTCTGAGGCCTTGAAGAAGGGGCAGCACGACTTAGCGTGGCAGGGTGGCTGCTCTTGCAGGGAGAGCACCGCTGCCAACCTCACCTCTGCCCACCCTCTGCTTTCCCAGGGAACGAGCCCCACTCCGCATGTTACAAGAGCTGCCCCATCGCCCAGCCTGTGGGCAGGACACTGAGAAGCTGCACCCCCAGCACAGCCCTTAGAGCGCTTCCAGACTCATGCCTCCCGCTTACGAAGGGTGCCCGCACTACGGGAGCTTGGCACTGGGTTCGCTTCACCAGTTTCAAGCTAGGTAAGTTGCCTGGCTGTAAGTCCCACTGTCTCCCATTGCAGCCCATCTTAACTGGGGATCTCCCTGCCCTGGCCCAAATATCCCCCATGGCGAGCACTAGGGATGGTGCTGCATCACTGCACGGACTTGGCGCTTTTCTAATTTAATGGCCTGGCCCTAGGAGAATTGCATTTGCTGTTATTACTAGTTCAGTGTTCAATTACACTTGTCTAACTGGTGGCACCTGGGACCTCACTGATGTGTAAGGAATGATGGCTGTCAGGAGGCGACAGGGCTGAGCAGAGATTTGTAAAAAGCCAGCACAACCATGCTATGATTGAGCGGAGAGCAGCCTGGCTTTTCTCTCAGTGATGAAGAGAAACAATCTTTAGTGATGGCCTTGGGGTTCACCCCATTGCTGGTTCCCCCCAGGGCAGAGTTAAATCAGTTTGGGTGCTTTAACCATGGATTTGCAGACTTTCAAATACTTGGGTTTCTTTGACATTTAATATTGACTCTGACCGTCCTGGCTTTCTAAACGTCGTTTTTTAAATAATAACATTCTTGTTAGTTTAAAAAACATAACAAGAATGTTGTTGCTTTTTAAAAAATAAAAACAACCCCTGTATGGCACGGATAGGTCCTTCCAACTCTAATGCCAACTGCATGAAGTTTTTTGTCTGGGAATTTCCTTAGGGCTTTCAGTGTTTGTGACAGGAAGACTGCTCAAACGAGTCTTCAGTGAGAGGGATCTGCAAACAGGTATCAAGATCCCGGTTCACAAGGCAGTTGTCATCCCCACCCTTCTCTATGGGTGTGCGACCGGGTCACCTACAGACGCCATCTCAAGCGGCGGGAGTGGTTCCAGCAGCGCTGCCTCAGGGGGATTCTCAGGATCAGCTGGGAAGACCGATGCACTAACATCGGCGTTCTCTCTGCAGCCAACACCAGCAGTATAGAACCACCGGTCATGAAATACCAGCTCCGCTGGGCTGGCCGCTGTGTACGTGTGCCTGACACTTGTCTCCCGAAGCAAGTGCTCTTCTCTCCATTAAGTCAGGGAAGAAGGGCTCGCGGAGGGCAGCGGAAGCGTTTCAAAGACATACTGAAAGTACAGCTTAAAAAGGGAGATATCAACCCAAGAAACTGGGAGGACTCGGTGCGGAACAGAACATAGTGGCACCACCCCATACACCAAGCCACAGGTCACTTTGAGGAGAACAGATGTGCTCCTGAGACAGAGAAGCGACACAGGAGGAAAGAAAGGGCACAACAGTCCAGCCAACAACTATGTCTCCTCCAAGATCACACCTGTCACTTCTGTGGGAAAATCTGCAGGGCACGAATTGGCCTCCTCAGCCACTTAAAACCCACCAATGAACCCCCTTGGCAGACATCACCCTCGCATCGAGGGACAGCCGAAGAAGAAGAGGCGTTTGTGACCAGCAGTGGGAGACAGGTGCGACAAAATGGGAATGTTTGGGTACTACTTTTTATGAATCCTGTGTGTGCTACGGGGCAAGTCTCCACCTAAAACACTGCCGCGGCTGGGTGAAGAGGCTCCTACTGTCGGGGTAGCTAAGCCACTGCCCCGAGAGGCGGTAGCTATGGCGACGGGAGAAGCCCTCCCACTGACATAGCGCTGTCCACAGCTACAGCCCTCAGCGGTGGGGATTTTTCACACCCCGGAGCAATAACTTTTGAGTGTAGACCTGGCCTGAGCTTGTTTGTGGGGAAGTGCAAGAGACATGGGGGTGGGGGTGTCACTAATGGTCTGGGGAGGACCGAATGGGTCATTACAGGACTGGCTGAGGCCCACCCAGAGCAATGGAAAATCCGAGATGACAATGAAAACTACGAGGGGCAGAACGCTGACGCCTAGCAACCAACCACCGAGAGGAAGGAGGTTTCCCCACCTCTCAGGAGGGAAGGGAAGCGGTGTCAGGGCACCGGGATCACAGTGGGCTTTTGGAAGAGGCTGAGCTGCTCTCACCTCGGTCTGACAACGGGCCGGAGCCTGCATTCGAGTGGATTGCAGCGAGTTGCTCTGGTTTGGCCAGCCGGACTCTGTCCTCACCTTTATTTCTCTGCGCTAACCTACACTCCCAGTGCTGCCTTCCAGCTGACTCATAAACCCTCCTCTGCTTTGAAGCCGCTGCCCGTTGTCACTACAGGTACTTGTGGAGGTCCCCGAGGAGTGTGACAATCTCTGACTGGGGTCTGTCCCACTTGGGCTTGCCGGTCAGAGCTCACGGGGTGAAGCCGGAGGCGGCTCAGCCTGAGGTGGTGAGGCCACGAGGCCTACCCCGAAGGAAGAGTGGGACCCCTTGGGGGTCTTCCAAGGGACTGTTTAAAAGCTGGGGCGCAGCACAGACCTTGTGGCTCCGAGGACAGGCTGGGGGGAAGCTGTGTTTGTGTTGGCACAAGGCCTAAATCAGGGTGTTGACAGTTTCTCCTGCTTGCACAGCCACTGCAGCTCAGCACAGGTATTTGGAGCAATCATTTTGTGTCTCCTCCTATCAGTGTGACATGTGTTATGACATGACGCTCAGAAGCAAGGCCGAGCTCTCTGCAGGGAGGCTCCCTGGTGGGGGGGATGGAGCGACTCAAGACACCAAAGGGGCCAGTCGTGGAAGATAAGCGAGGAGCCTCGGCCTTCGCATTCCCATGTGGCCATGGGGTGGCTGACTCCTTAGGGGGGCCGTGATTTCCCAAGGGCAGATGCTCAGCCCCTTTGTGGTGTCCCAGGCTGGGGCCCCCAAAACGGAACTAGGCCCTGGAGTGTAAGTGACCCAGAAGCAACTGGCAGCTTTTCTGCTGAGTGACAATACGCACAGGCACCGAGCGGTAAGAGCAGCGTGGCTGCATGGCCCCAGGGACCTGCACTCTCACAGCAGCCTTTGCTCTGCGCGGCGACAGAGCCGTATGAAACACCTGCCAGAGCTGATGGGCTTTTGAGCACCAGGAAAGTGGAAATGGGATTGTGGTTCCTGGAGCAGGGTTTTCAGCCCCAAGGTGTCTATGGGCTGTTGCTTTCACATGCTCCCTGGGGTGGCAGGGCTGGAGGCACTGCAGATATGGTGCTCAGTCCCTTACGAGGAGACGGCATCTCAGGTTATCCAGGTGGGACTCTGGCTGTTGTGGGGATGGGCGGGGAGGGGCAGCAGGTGCTGATGGGAACGGAAATGAGTCACCCTCAGCTGACAAGAAAGGAGGCTGTGGCCTGTCGGGGTGCATGGTGAGGGGTGCGGACAGGGAGAACCGCAGGGAGCCTTGGCCGGGAAGGGAGCCCTGAATGGGACGAGGGAGGGGGGCTGATGGGGACTCCGGGATGGAAGTGGTATCACTGCAGGAGCCACTGACTGGCCCCTTCTCCCCATTGCCCTTCTCACCCCAGAAGTGGCCCTTCCAGGGCAGAGCTAAGGTAGATTCCTGGGAGGTGGGGTGTGTGTGTGAACCTCGCCCTGGTGCTGCCTGGGCTGGGGACAAGCAAAGGGACTCAGGCTCCAGGGTTGGCAATCCACCACCTTCAGCCAGGACTAAAGTCACCTTTAAGGAACAGGGGAGGAGTTGGCGCCTCTCTTCCTCCATCGCTTTGTTGCAAGAGCGCATCATCACTGTGTCCTAGCAACATCATGGCCATTACCGCGGCAACGCACTGTGACATCACCCGCCAACTGGTTCCCTGAATGCTATGGAGAAATCTCCCAGGGCAAAACACTGGCTTTTAGCAACTCAAAGCAGCCGAAAGAGGGCAGAGAAACAGCAAATGCCCAGAGTGGGGGGCCAGGCCGATGTTTCCACAGGGTTAGCCAGGTTCCCCGAGAAGTGAAATATTCATCTGTAATACAGCAACCAAGTCTTCTCTCCAAACGGGGGAAGGGGGGAGATTCAGCAAATTGTAGATAAACAAATGACCCAAGGGAGCGGAGGGAAAACATGTTTCAAAAGCTACTTCAGAGGAGCAATGGCTCTAATGGATAGGAGGCTGCACTTTGAAAACGCACAAAGGGAAGAGGTGTTACACTCCCACAGGCAGGAGACACCATTAACAAGCCGGGCACAGCCACGATTGGGTTACTGAGAAGACTCCATTGCAGCTCCCGACACTTTCATCTGTAGGAGGTCAAATTACTGTGCATGTAGCAGCGCTACAGAAGATGATACCTACCTCCCAGGTTCCTTTCATTGTCCCTAGGGACCTGCCAGCTGCTGCCTCTTCCCGCCCCCGGGGCAACCGCTCTTTAAAGCAGGGCGTGTTTGTCTTTTAAAACCTCTGCATTTTTAAAAAACTCAGCTCAGGGAGATGTGAGCGAGGAAAAGGGGCCAACGAACCACACAGGCAGGAAAACTTTGCACAGGGTCTTTCATGCCAGTCATCTCCACAAAACGCTTCCCCTGGGGGCAGAACAAAGCTCTCCCAGCGCGGCAGCATCAGCTGTGAGTTCCACAACAGCTGGAGCATTCGGGGGTGGGAAAGAGGGTCACAGATCAGCTAAGTTCTGGGGAAATGGCTTCCAATTAAAACACACCATCTGCCCGCCCTGTATCCAGCCCATCCTTGGCCTGAAACTTGCCCCCAATTTACAGCTGTGCATTGATGTCAAGGGACTGAATGGAGAGTGTCAAATAGTTCTCACAGGCATTTGTGATAGGGTGCATATGTTTATATGAACCTATCACATTTCTCTAGTCCCTTTCATCTGGAGGGATCTCAAAGCACTTTATAAACTTTGTACATTCAACACCACTTAAATGCAGCCACCTCTGGGGCCGAGCAGTGACCACAAAACTCACAGTGCAACGATGTCAGGGAGATGGAAATTGGACAAAGACAATGGGCAAGCAGCAAGTCTTATGCAAAAGTGCCCTGGGATCATGAACAGCCACATCCAGCAGACAAAAGCTACGGGTTAAGGTCTCACCTGAGAGACTCCCAGGCAATGAACTGCCTGGTATTCAGGATTTAGCCTCTCTAGGGTGTTGTGGAATATACAGAGCAAGGAAAGAGGGCGGCACAGAGGCAGCCTCCATTGGCTAATGAAAGTTCCAAACTGTGCAGATGTTCTGAACAGCTGCCCGGCTGCTGGCACTCACTACATCAGGCAGCCCCACTGAGCTCTATGGGAACAGAGGTTGGCCAATGCTGGGCACTTTGAAAAGCCAATAAAAGAGACCTGAAGCAGCAGGGACGAATATCCTTTCAGCTCCCTGCGTCTCTCCCAAGGACACTTCCGGGAGCAGTCATTCCATTTGCCTGACTTCTCATCTGTGCTGAAAACTCTGACTACACCAGCTTGTACCTGAAGTTCTCAGGGTTTTTTTTTCTTCTTAAAAAGGTTTGTGTTGTCTATACACTAGGAAATGAGTGGAGGAAGCCAAGTGATCCGTCTGGCTGAGAAGAATCCCGAGTCACACCTTCATTCTTACCAAGTAATAGGGGGTGGCCGTGTTAGTCTGTATCCGCAAAAACAACGAGGAGTCCCGTGGCACCTTAAAGACTAACAGATTTATTTGGACATAAGCTTTCGTGGGTAAATAACCCACTTCTTCAGATGCTAGTCTTTACGGTGCCACCGGACTCCTCGTTACCTTCATTCTTATTTCATACTGATAACATGGTAGCACCCAAGAGACCTGCTGGGGACAAGGGCCCAGATGCGCTAGATCAGCAGGTCTCAAACGCTTGCACTGGTGGCCCTGTCACACAGCAAGTCTCTGAGTGCGACCTCCCCTTATAAATTAAAAACACCTTTTTATATATTTAACACCATTATAAATGCTGGAGGCAAAGCGGGGTTTGGGGTGGAGGCTGACAGCTCGCGACTCCCCATGTAATACCCTCGTGACCCCCTGAGGGGTCCTGCCCCCCAGTTTGAGAACCCCTGCGCTAGATGCTGTACAAACACACGCTCTGCCTTGAGGAGCTCACAGCGGTAACACAACATAACGCATCGCAACAAGGAACTGAAGGGGTTGGTTCCTCTTGAACCTTTTGCTGCTTTCGAAAGAATATAAACTTCCCTGGGGGCAGCCTGGCCTCGTGGCTGGGCACTGGCCAGGGGAGCCGAAGATCTCGCCTCTACTCCTGCCACTGACCTGCTGCGTGCCTTGGGCAAGTCCCTTCACCTCTATTTGGCTCCTGCCTTTGTCTGTTTCAACTGTGAGCTCTTTGGATTGTCTCTGACTTTGCCGCCCGTTCCTAACACACGGGAGCCCTGATCTCCGCTGGGGTGGCTCATGATTTGAAACTGTGATGACGTTTCTTTTCCTTTCCCGTGTAGAGATCCTTGACAAAGAGCATTGGGGCTGCTCAATCAGCGTGGCTGCCAAGGGCTGCAAATCAACCCTCGGCATAGTTAAGGTGCGAACTGCATTTCTCATCCACCTCCGGGAGGTGTTAATAGCGGTGTCTAGTTGGGATCATTGCAATAGTAATGCTATCGCGCAAGGCAATCGAAGAAACAAACACTCAGCCCCAGCCAAGGACCATTTTGAAACATGTTGTTATGTGTCAATCTGTCTTCAATGAGCTTTCTCCGGCCTCTGCTACACAGGAAAATGAGCCCCTGGATTCCAGCACTGGCCCAGCTATACTGGTGATAGCGACGGACAGCGCTAGCACTCTGAGCAAGCTTTCAACACACACTAGTTCAAGTAATTACACCAGGGCTTAGCACTGACGCAGCTGCTGGCGTACCGTTCGGGGGCTGATCTCTGTTTGTAGATGCACTGTTCTGCAAGCAGGAATGGGCTGATGCCCCGCCAACCCAGAGAACTTGCACTGGTTCTTGACACCTCTGTCCTGGAGGATGGGCAAGTGGCTCCTTCTTTTAACCTGAGTTAAAAGCCTGCACCCTAGCTCTTAAGCTCCCCCAGATAGCTCTGAAAAATCTAGCATCAGACACCCTCCCCAGGCCCCCCGTTCTGAAACCCAGAGCCGAATCCTGCTTGCCTTATTCATGCAAGTCACCCCACTGATACCAATGGGCCTGCTCATGTGCGTTAGGTGGGCAGCTCACCTTGCATAAAGCACTTTGTGTTCACACAACCTGCTTCTAAGACCAGATGCTGCGACTTGGCTACCAATGTGCCCCCCAGCTCGGCACCCCGCTCCTCACTTCCCAGAGGGGACTGGGGGAAGTGCAATGGGGTTTGGATGGACTGGTTCATGAGGTGCAGGTGCAGCTTGGCCAGGAGGCGGACAGTGGAGGGGCAGGAGGAGTGCCTGGTAGTATCTGAAGATGTTAAATAAGGAGGGAGAGGAATTCCATGGGGGGCGTAGGGGGTCAGTGAGATAGCGCTAAGAGAAATGGGGTGAACTAAGGGAAAGGAGAATATAGGCTGCATACCAGGGAACCGCCTAAGAACGAGGCCAGTGGAGATGTCTCTTACAATAAGAGGTGCGAGGTCTTTAGGACTGGTGGCTGGGCCAAGGAACTGTAGCTGCCCGTGCCGAGAACACAAGCAGTGATGGGAGATGTGTGATGGAGCAGGGGACGGACGATTCGCTTCCCTTTGACTGCTCTGCTCACTAGGGCGGAGGGATAGCTCAGTGGTTTGAGCGTTGGCCTGCTAAACCCAGGGTTGTGAGTTCAATCCTTGAGGGGGCCATTTGGGGATTTAGTTGGGGATTGATCCTGCTTTGAGCAGGGGGTTAGACTAGATGATCTCCTGAGGTCCCTTCCAACCCTAATAATCTTTCTATGATTCTAGGGCCCTGGTTTGTAGACAGGCAGGACGTGTGTACAGAGCCCCCCAGCTGCACTTCCCCACGGCCTAATGCAAAGCACACTGACTTCAGCAGGAGTCTGTCTATTCGGCCCAACCGGCTTTGGCTCAGACCACAATCTTATCACTGCTGGAGCGGCATGCAGCATCCTGGCCTCCTGTTCTTGGCTTGGCAAGAGCCAGTGGTCAGATGGCCTTTGCCAGCACCCCCTTCTAACTGCAATAGGCACAAAGGAATTGCAGTTAGCCATGGGACAGCCCCACTGCGCGCCAGGGCCCCTTCCCCCTTGCAGTGCAGACACCTGCCTCGATTGCGGGAGCAGGAGCCAGCCCTCCAAAGCCCGGCGCGTAATGTCAGGAGGGTTTTGGGGGGAGCGTCCCCTCGCAGCTCTGCAGTGCCCCAGGCCTCTTTGCAGGGAGAGACAAGGATTTTCCCTCCTTTCCCTGTTCTCGGCTCAGCAATCCCGCTGGAAGCAGGCCCGTCAGCAAGGCCTGGCTGCAGAGGCAGCGAAGCAGCGGTGCTGCCCTGGGGGTGGAGGGCGGGTTCCCGGGGGAATCCCGCATCATCTCCCCGCACCCCCAGGATGCAGCTCGCCCTCCTCTCGTTGCTGTTCTTTACCGTGCTTACATAAGAGGGCGGGGGAAGGGAGCCCCTTTTCTCCATTGTTTCAGCTCCACCGCCCCGCAGGCTCGGGAGCCATGGGGACAATGAAAGGCTCCCCCCGGAATAACCCGCCCGGCTAGGCATAGGCGCCGGGAGGGGACGGGAGGCGGGACTGGGGGGCTGCTGCGCCCCGGGCTAGCCGGAGAGCCGCCCCGAGCCGGCGTGGGGAGCCCTGCGGGCTGGGGCTGGGGGGGACGGGCGAGCCGGGCTCGGGCCCCGTTGGCCGGCGCGCCCGGGGCGCAGGGAGCTGTCCGCGCCCGCGGTGCTGAAGCCCGCGGCAAGCCGGGGCGCGGCGCCGGGCCTAGGCGGGCAGGAGGCCGGGCCGGGGAAGGCGGAGAAGGGCGCAGACAAAGAGCGGTACGAACCTGGAAGCCGGGCGGGGAGGCTGCGCTGGAGGCGGGCGGCGCCGGGCAGAGTGCGCGCTGCCGGAGTCTGTGCACCCCGCGCCCCGCCCGGCAAAGGGGGGGCCGCTGGAAGCAGCCGCCGCCCGCCCTCCGCGGGGCACGGGCGGCCGGCGGGGCAGCGCTGCCCGGGCGCGGGAGGGGAGGCGGAGGCGGCTGGACGCGGCGCCGGGAGCCCCGAAGGCGGGGCGCGCAGGGGCTGGCTGGAGTTCGGCCCGCGATGGGTTTGCGCGGAGCTGCACGGAGACCCGCCCCCTCCCTGGGACCTGCGGAGCGCACGGGGGGGGGGGTCAGCCCCGAGTTTCTCCTGCCCCCCCTTCACCAGAGCCCGGACGGGCCGCCTCAGCCGGCGGGGGTGTCACTGTCCCTCCCTGGGCGGACAAGCAGGGACTTTCCCCCGCCGGCCTCTCTCCACAGACCCCTGGGGCGCAGGCAGAGGGGGGAGCGCTGGTTTGGGGGAGCGTGGCTGGGGCGAGGCAGCGCGAGGCAGAACAGCTGGGAGCGGGGGGCTAAGCCCGTCTTATTACGGGCACATTAATCCACAGACAAGGAGGAAGTTTGTCCCGGCTCTGAAAGGGAACGTGTGTGGCCAAGGGCTGGGAGAAGCGGCTTGGGAAGAGGGTCCTAGCTCCCCAAGCCAGCAGGGACCCTTGTGATCATCTGGTCTGACCCCCTGCAGAGCACGGACCAGAGACCCGCCCCCAAATCATTCCTAGAGCCGAGCTTTTAGCAAACCAGCCCATCCCCGTTTTAAAATGGCCAGTGATGGCGAATCCACCGGGACCCTGGGTACATTGTTCCAGTGGTTAATGACTCTCACTGTTATCATTTGTTCTTGAGTTATTTTTTGACTGTTGATAGCTGTGTCCAAAGAGCCTCTCTCCAGGGTGACTGACTGGCAATACAGCTCTTTGCAGTGTTGTTGCCAATGGGGATCACATCCTGAAAAAAATCTTTCCTGAACCCCCTTCCTCTGGCCTTCAAACAATCAGCCTTGCCAAGCTCATCATCAGAAGCCGGCTCCCCACAGACCAGGACCCACCAACTCCAAGTGGCACCAGACCCAGCCAGAACAACAGATGCAAAACCTGCAGCCATATCTCCACTGCTACGGTGATCAACACCCCCCACAAGACACCTTTCCAGATCCCTGGGCCTCTGACAACACACTGCACCTCATCCGGTGCATCAAATGGCCCAATAACAACTATGTGGGTGAAACCAGACAATAGCGACACTCTCAAATGAACTCAAACAGAAAATGAGAAAAGACAAACTCACACTATCGCCCAGGGGTGAGCACTTTTCACAAGGCAATCACTCTCTAGCTGATCTTTCAATACTTGTCCTCGAAACCTGCAAAACATCTTCAAAAGGCAGGCCTGCCAACAGGGCCGATGCAACCCATTAGGCGACCTCGGCGGTCGCCTAGGGTGCTACAATTTGGGGGGCGGCATTTCGGGGTGGGACCTTCTGTGGGACCCTCTGTGGGGGGGGGGGGGCGGCATTTCGGGGGGGGACCTTCCGCCGCCTAGGGCAGCAGAAAAGCTGACGGCGCTCCTGCCTGCCAACTTACATTCCTAACTTTGCTGGACACCACGGACTTAACAGGGGCACTGGTTTTATGGCTCATGTGTAACACACCACACTGCCTGCTACCCTTAATCGCCCACTTCAAACCCTTTATGCAGAACAATCTAACCCACCATTGCCCACTTCACTTCAAATGACCACCTCCAACATGCAGTTCCCCTTCTGGTGGACAATCTGTCCCTACTGGTATTTAGCTCTGCGTCCTTCCCCAGAGCTCGGTGCAGCTCGAAAGCGGGTACCTTCCACCAACAGAAGCTGGGCCAATAAAAGATACAACCTCGCCCACCTTGTCTCTAGCAGTACAGTGACTCTTTAGTTAAACTAGGCCCTGTTAACTCAGGCTTCACTACTGTCCTAAGGTGTCCCTTCCATGGCATCCGAGGAACTGGCTGTGCATACAACTCTCAACCAAGATTAGACGCCACCCAGGCAAACAGCTGAGATTTGCCTGGCAAGACTTCAAAGGGCCACTGCTATCAGGAGGGAGGGAGGGAGGAGGGGAGAGCACCTTGACTTCAAGAATTGATGGGTTCTGAGCTTCCTTCAGAAGGGAGCTGAAAGGCTCTGTCTTCAAAACTGCTTAAGAGCCAGCTGCTGCCACCTTTACTCATGCAGAGTAGCACTGGACTAGGCGAGTAGTCCCACTGAACTGGATGGGGCTACTCAAGGAGCAAGGCCCAACTCACGGTGAGTAGGAGTGGCAGGATCCGACTATGCAATTACGTGCAGAGATTTAAAAGTAAGAAATATATTCAGAAAGAAAATCCTCTTTTCTGTACCTGTCAAGGCTGGAGTTTGGAGTCAGCCTTTCCCTGGCTGCAGGTGATGATCTTGTTAATGTCTAAACCAGAGTAAGGAGCAAAGCTCCCGGCATGGCTTCAGATAACACAGTACAGCTCAACAGCCTTTCGCTTTCCCCGAGGAAGAGCAGGAAGGACAGTGACACGATGTGACGAAGTGGGACTGTTCTTAATGTTTCCTCTGAATACTGTGTGGGTGCCTCAGTTTCCCCTATGCATTTCTTAAGTCTCTAGGTGGTGGGATAAAGGCCAGTGTGCATAAATCACTGACACTCTGTCTCCCTGGCAACTAATGGCCAGGCCCTTCCCCCCTGCAAGGGGATGCTAAAGGTGTGGGAGAACAAAGAGGTCAGGTGACCTCCTGGCCCGGGAAAGGAACAAAGCAGAGAAGGAGGGGCTGGAGGGGGTTTCAGTTTGGAGCCGGCTGGGGACTAGGAGTGAGGGCAGACAGGGTTGTCTGCCTCGCGGGACCCCAGGATGGACTCGGCGGAGGGGTCCCGTTCGCTGTACCTACAAGCTCTGTTTTAGACCATGTTCCTGTCATCTAATAAACCTCTGTGTTACTGGCTGGCTAAGAGTCACGTCTGACTGCGAAGTGGGGGTGCGTGCAGGACCCTCTGGCTTCCCCAGGACCCCGCCGGGGCGGACTCGCTGTGGGAAGCGCACGGAGGGGCATATGCTGAATGCTCCCAGGAGAGACCCAGGAGGTGAAGCTGTGTGAGCTCCTTGCCCTGAAGACAGTCTGCTCCGAGGGAGAGGAGGCTCCCCGGAGTCCGGACTGGCTTTGTGGGGAGCAGTTCCAGAGCATCGCCCGGGGACTCCGTGACACACGCACGTGTCACCCCGGGGCCAAAGCAGAGTGTAGATGCTTAAAGAAGACCTGCGTTAGCTACTTAGTCTGCTGGAGTCCACAGTGTGACACCAAGGACTGGTCAAAGTTGGGAATTGGGACCCAATGTTATGAACACATGAAACAAGGACAATGGTCCCGGCCTGGGATGGTGTCTGATCCCACCCGATCTTCTCTAGGTTATTGCTGTAGTTCCTAGGTGACAATGAATCAAAACCAATTCACTGCTGTGCAGTGTCAGACTATTCCCTAGACCTCTGCTCTCTCACTGGCTGCGATTCTGATTTCATTTATTATTGCTGTTACAGTAAATCACTGCCCCTTTGGGCTAGATGCTGCACAGACACTGAGTGGGAGACAGTCCCTGCCCCCGGGCTCACAGTTAAGCAGACAAGACAGACAAAAGGTGGGAGAAAGAAAGGACAGTCACCCCCATTTCACAGATGGGGCACTGAGGTGCCAGGCTCAGTTCTAAATTGGCTGTTACCAAGCAAGAGATCTTGGCATCATTGTGGAGAGTTCTCTGAAAACATCCACTCAATGTGCAGCGGCAGTCAAAAAAGCGAACAGAATGTTGGGAATCATTAGGAAAGGGATAGATAATAAGACAGAAAATATCATATTGCCTCTATATAAATCTATGGTACGCCCACATCTTGAATACTGCGTGCAGATGTGGTTGCCCCATCTCAAAAAAGATATATTGGAATTGGAAAAAGTTCAGAAAAGGGCAACAAAAATGATTAGGGGGATGGAACGGCTTCCGTATGAGGAGAGATTAATAAGACTGGGACTTTTCAGCTTGGAAAAGAGACGACCAAGGGGAGATATGGTAGAGGTCTATAAAATCATGACTGGTGTGGAGAAAGTAAATAAGGAAGTGTTCTTTACTTCTTCTCATAACACAAGAACTAGGGGCCACCAAATTAAATTAATAGGCAGAAGGTTTAAAACAAATAAAAGGAAGTATTTCTTTATACAATGCACAGTCAATCTGTGGAACTCCTTGCCAGAGGATGTTGTGAAGGCCAAGACTATAACAGGGTATAAAAAAGAATTAGATAAATTCATGGAGGATAGGTCCATCAATGTATTAGCCAGGATGGGCAGGGATGGTGTCCCTAGCCTCTGTTTGCCAGCAGCTGGGAATGGGCGACAGGGGATGGATCACTTGATGATTCCCTGTTCTGTTCACTCCCTCTGGGGCACCTGGCATTGGCCACTGTCAGAAGACAGGATACTGGGCTAGATGGACCTTTGGTCTGACCCAGTCTGGTGCCACTGCGCTGCTGTAAGCCCTCGACTATTGTCATAGCTTAAGTGACTCACCCAAGGCATCAGTGGCAGAGCCAGGAATGAAGGCCAGGTCTCCTGAGCCCCAGTCCAGTGCCTTAGCGTGGGGCCAGCCTTCCTCCCTATAGGTCACAGTGGGGGGAGAGGGAATGGTGCCAGAGACGCTGTGGGCTCCCCCTCTGCGGGAGGGCCGGCTGTAAGAGGTGAAGCTGGCACTGTGCTTTAGGGAAAGAAGCTGCTCACTCATCACATCGATGATTAGACTGTAAACTCTTTGGGGCATGCACACGTTCTTTTAACCTGCGACTGGCCAGCACCTTGCACGCTGCCGGCTGCAGGGAACAAGTAACCAGCAGCCGTAACATTCAGTGTGCGAGTCCCAGGCCTAGGCAGCACGTAACTCCCTTCACTGACCATGCCCAGCCCCCCTTGAGTCAGGAATTCCAGCCTGGCATCGGTGAGTCACAGCAGGGGGACAGCCCTGGAGCACAGAGCAAC